AATGCAGACAAATCTAAAGATTCAACCTATTTAAAGATCTTGATTAACTTTTGCATGATTTTCCCCTTAGTGAATTAATTTTGGTGCCTTTAATAAAATTGCTCAAAAGAAAATTGTGTACCTACTTCAGTATGTGAGTAGGCTTATCAACATTTAGCATGTATGTCATAATTAGCGTTAACATTCAATAAATCCGAAGTACTTTACCGGATGTCTGCCTGACCCAAATAGTGCACAAGGAGATTCGAGTGTCTAGCAAAAAATTAACTAGCGACACCGGTCATCACCTGAATCAGACCGCGTGAGTCGTTTTGGAATGGCTTATCCAGGTACTGTACACGATTCCTCGCCAACTCTTGCAACCTGGTTTAATTTGAGTGGTGGGGCAGACAAGCTTTTACACTTTTTTCATGTTCAGCTGGTACCTTATGATATAAGGGTTTGAAATGCACAGGAAATTGTTTAGAGCACAACCAGTATGCGTCTTACGATGAATTTGAAAGTGGGAATTTGGCGAATCCAGTTGGCTTGTCTAGTCCTCTTGGGGAAACACATTTGAATTACTTCGACGATCGGACATTTTTGATGTCAAAAGGACCCATTCGGCTTATTTAAATGAATAATTATTAACTGAATGCATCCTCACACCGCCGACTCTATGAATGGTAAATGTCTTGTAGGACAAACCATAGTAGCTTGTCCAAAGCCTTCTTTCAAGTAAACAATGAATGTGAAGGTCAAATAAGTCTGTGGCACCACAATGACGGGGTGATATACCAGCCACGTTGCCACAATCATGCCAAATTAAAACCACCTTACAAGATTAGGCGATCATGCCGTTGGCGATTCAGTAGCACTTTGTGCTCGTGTATACGGAGAGGGCGTCTCTTAAAGCAATGCTTCGGACGTGCCAATTTCCTTACAAGAAAAAAATGTGTCAGATTTTGCGTAGACTATGGTGGGAATCGAAAGAAGCCTCCTCCGGGAGCTTTTTTGTTATGGAAGTCAGCATGTAGATTGGTGGTTGGTGGAATTACTCACGCCCTTCATGGAAATTTTTCCCTCTTCATTTGCTTGTCTGGAGCCTATCATTTACGGATGTACTGAATAAAAGCGTCATTGACACGCCTTCAGATTTGGTGATATGCCAAGTTGAACATGACATCCAAAAATGCGACAGCTTTTATCCATGGTGGAGTTCACTGTGTTCTCTTACTCATTCACCTCTCCAGGGAGAATAGTGCAGTAGCGTGAAGGCTACCCAGCACTTTGAAATGACGTCTTGCTGTCTCAAAACGAGACGGTTATCCATCGGATGTGATCCGTCGATAAACACTGGCTTACTCGGGGTTCCAAATGCCAACTTCCGAGCTTATTTTTTCACTGGTCGCTTTCGTCCCGACGAAAAAGGAAAGAAATCGAGACATTTGCATCATCTTGAAGCGTTGGACGGGATTGATGAGTCGGATTTGCGTAGACAACATCAAACAAATTTATAGGTGGGGTCATTTTTGCCAAGGTAAGGTCAATAAAAAAGGAAATTCACGATTTGGGGGAGGGGCACGGGAACTACTCACATGAGAATTGGAAGGAGTGGTCATGAGGTCAGGTGATAGAGAAGGGGCACATCTGCACCTTAGTAATCGTTGCCATACAAGAATTAAGGACGTCCTTTTTGAAGCCTTATTTGCGTCCCCAAATTAGTACTGTGAAGAAGTGAAGGAACTTAGGAGGCAAATATGCCCCAGGAAGGATAGTTATGTTTTTAAAATCAATTCATTTGTTCAATCCAGCAGTTCAAGGTGATTAAAGCACTAACCGTGCAGGTGAAGGAAGTAAACACAACCACGTGCTCAAGAATCACCGTTTGCTAGTACGTGGAGCCAACTTTCCTTTGCGTAGATGGACACAATCAGAAGTTTGGAGGACTGTACCACGGAGCACTAGCAGGACAACAAATAATTTCTGCCTCGCCAACTGCAATGACGGGGAAATAAACCGACAGAGAGTTGTGACCGAGAATTGTGCACAAGCGACTAATCTACGGGCTAGAAGACCCGCAGGTCAGGTCAAATGGAAGGCGAGTAGAGTATCCGGGGTGAGGGGGCTAGCCACCACATACCACAACCAACACCTGAGTCGAGAGGGAGAGATGACTTCGCCTGCATATCTGCTACCGCGTACTCCACACCCCCAATCAGCTGAACACATTCAAACATCCATTAACTCCCCATGCAGAGAACATACTACTACGTCTACTGCATTCTTTTGAACCCGACCAATCGGCCTGCTACATCATTTGGCACAACCAGTTACCAGATGTCGAAGTCGCAATCACTCAACGTTATTGACGATCCTGTCAACAGAGTGAACAAGCCAAAGAATGAGATAAATGGGACCTGATCCCCCCTCACACATAGATTTCCCATTACCAACTGTTAAATTTCAGCGACTCATTTCAATTAAAAGCAGACTCAAATACGCATTGTATGGTGTAGGAAGTAGTGAGCATCAATAAAAGCATTTTAAGTGGAAACAAGAGTATACCAACAGTGTAAAAGTGAATCATATTAAGGGCGCCAAAGAAGAAGGGACTACTGATACTGTCGGAAGAAGTGAATGATGTCGCGGTAGATGCGAGAGGCAGCGTCTAGGCCCCAGACGAAGTCGAGGTGGTTGTAGTCCGACAGGTAGACATTGCGTACTTGAGCGCCCGGACACCGAGAAAGCTCGGCCAAGATGCGGCTAATGTCTCGTGGCGGCGCCAGCCAATCTTGCCCACCCCAGTATACAGTCACTGGCACCCCCACCGCGTCCAGCCCGTAGGGTGGTGGGGTCGTCCGATTGTACTTCACCATGTTCTCTGCAGCCCCGAAATCGAAGGCCTGAAAGCGGCCTTGCCACATCCCCTGCACGGTAACATCAAATTTGCTACATCAGCAACCATGACACCTTTCTCTGATTAAATGACAGGCTACTAAATCTTGATAAGATTCGGAAGCTAATGCAACACCTCTTAATCAAAAAGTGGACAGACGAAGTAGGCACTATGGAGACACAAACTGCCTCCTTGTGCTGCATGGATGAAGGTACGCGCTTCCAACAAGGCTTCCAGTTCAAGGCAATGCGCATATCCTCAACTGTCTCAAATGGATTAGTTTAAGACAAAGAATATGACGCAGTAACCTGAAGGCATTCAAAAAGTGACCCGAGTTCATTACCTGGCAGTAGTGAACCATATTTTGAACCGAAGTTCCCGCTGGCGTGTGCGCAACATACACTGGCAGTCGAGTCTACAAGAAATTTAAAAAATATGCCCAGTCGTTTTAAGCAAATTGTTCTAAGAAAGTTCGTTGGAATATGAGTACAAGTAACTTGATTATTAACTTCTTGTGACGTGATAAAGAGGGATAATGTTGTGGAAGTATACCCTCACCGAATTTATATTACGCGTGTCATATCCCGCGATTAAAAAGATGAGATTCTTGCACACGAAAGGGAGGGGATGATCACGGCATACAAAGAGGGCGAAAAAACGCATCACCCAGTCAGAGGGCAGGAAGCGTCTGACTCCACCGAAAAGCCAGCGGGCCTTGTGGAGGGAATTGCACAGTGGCGCGATGTAGTGGATGGGGCTGCGCACATGCTCCAGATAGGCGACTGGAGCAAGCGCTGCAAACGCAGACACATGGCCGCGAAGACTTGCGTCACTGTTCAACTGCGCGAGCGCAATTTGCGCACCCTTGAAAAAGAGACGGAAAGAAGACCTCCTTGTTAGTTCGTTACAACAAGATTAAACATGGCACGCGTTAAAACCTCACCTGAGAATGTCCCACGTAGAAAATCTTGTCAACCTTCGTTTCGTTAATGATGAAATCGATGGATGCACGAAGATCATACATAGCCATTTCGTCCCAAGAAAATGCCCAAAATTTGTCGTCACTGGTGTTCAAGTATGCATGCTTTTGGGAGTAGGTACTACCTCGACTATTCCCCAACCAAACATCGAAACCTGCGTCGGCAAGAATGAACCCCAAACTCTCGTTGGCCAGGTTATTGATCCAAGTGTGAGCGGAGTCGAGAAAGCCGTGTTGGAGAAGCACCACGTTCCTACTGTCACCCATTGACATTGAAGTTTTCGTACGAATACGATGAAGAGTGAGGTAATAGCCGTCTTCAGTTTCAACAATGTACTCATTTGGTCGGTAACCTTTCCCGTCAATTATTTCGTACTAGAATAGTAAAAAAAAGGTAAGACGCGCAACAAAAGTGAGGTCTCAAAGCAAAAGTCAATTAGCATTTAACTTTATCGAAAATTATACACAGACAAATGTAGTAAAATAACAAAATAGCATGCAAAACGCGTTGGAGATGGGGAAAAAATGATCATGCAAAAGGAAAGAGCGGCGACTTGAGTAGCAACATTATCATTTTAAAACCCCAACCAGCAAGTTTGCCTACTCCTGACAATTATCATCACTAAAGCATTATTGGGTAAAGAAGCAGAGAATAAGCATCCAAGATAAGCAACGAGACGACCTAAGACTGAATAGGGGGTTTAAAGTGGCTTACTGCTGTCTGAAAAACCTCTGGATCAACTGCACCAAATACCGACTTAAAGCGTGATCCTGAAGCCAAATGGAAAAGAATGACGACACAGACGATCAGCATATTTCGCACCGGTGACGAACAAAAAAAGGCCGACGACCAAATTGAAAGCGCTACATGCTGTTTAAGGTCACTGTTGGTAAAAATTAAGACGCATCTAATAATAAAAGAGACCTAAAAAAATTTTAAAATTAAAAATTTTAAATTTAACGTTGATTTGTTATCTGCCAGGAGTAGAACCGGGAGGACCAAGAAATGAGGTAATAAAAATTGGGCTAAATTGTGACTTAAATGCACATTTGGTTTCTTAAGAAAGCAACAGTAGACCTATTCAAAAAAGCATTTATAGTAGTATGAAATTAAGGTATAGTGGTTAGCTACAGTTTTCAACTAATCGCTTTGTCGGCATCGTCTAAGCGGTATGGGTAGTAGCAGGATGATATGTCATTAAGGAAGAGAAAAACAAGGAAGCAGGTAGAGTAGCTAATGACAGGATATCTGATCAACTCATACTGCCAGAAGTTGGGAAGTAAGGAAATCTTGTTAATGATTGACTGAGGTGTTGCATAATTTGGGCCTATATGCAACCACATGAGGTGGTGTGTGTGGTTGCATTGCGGCAGTTGAGAATGGGTAGGTTGAGACTTTTGGGGCGAAGTGGTCAAGGTGGAGGCTGACGACAGGCAAACCATGAGGTGTGCTGTTTTGTGAGCATCCCTTTTACAAGTAAGCCTCCACTTCTGGCTTACTAGTTGCCGTGAATCTTTGCTAACTTGGCTGTTCATCAGGTTCATCGCATTGCTGACACAGTAGAGGTGGTGAATTGATGGCTTGATTTCACTGCCGCCGTCGCGCCAGACGCTGGACTGGAAGAGAGCTAAGAGGTTTTCTGCCTCTTCACCATGACCAGTCTTATCATCAACAATCCAACCGTCAATTGCCATTTTCTCCTCTTTTCCTCTGTCTCAAAAACCTCCTTCCTAGTCCTTACGTTTCCTTTCGGCCGATTACCTTTCCTCTCCACACTACCACACAGTGCGCATGCACGCACCAATCAAGGCTTATTTATAATCCGTCACATATCTTAGCGTTATTACTTACTGTTTTGCACAACATTACGTTATCTCCTGACACTCCGTTAATTAGGTGCTTTGGTCAATCCTCCTACCGGAATTCGAGTGACTGATTAACTGACTGTGGGAGAAGACGTATTATAGTATAAGAGAGTCACTGAGGCCACAACAATGGAACTGTCTTATGAGTGCATTTTACTGTCTGCTGCCTTCTCTGCCATACCGCTCAGTGGCTACATGCTTCCACACCACCACAGGAGGGAAGGGAGTGTCATGATAGCTGCGCATGTAAACTTGTTGAAAAATATCATGTCAACACGGTCATTATTAACCATCCAATTTCTCCACTACCGCCCCAACAGTTAAGAAAAGACTTTCACTGCCTGCCACATGT